CCGCCCCTGAGAATTATCATAGTATATGACCTTAACAATGTATCAGTATTTATTCATTTAGTATATTAAAGTTTACATGAATTACGAACTATTAGTTATTCCTATTAGTTATCAAAATTAAAATATATAGTTTTGTTCATAGTAACCTATAATTGGAACATAAACATAATGTCAGAGATATGAATCCAGAAGCTGATGTTTGATAATGATGATTTTTTTAACAGTAATATGTTTGACATTCAGCTATCTGATCGTCAAACAAGTACGAGTCCATATTGACGGTTATTGCTCTAGAACAGCAATAATTAAAACAAAATGACCACCAGTCGGCCATTTTGAATACATGTACATCTGTATATCTATGATGAATAATGAATATATAAAATTTTGAACAAAATCAGTAAAAGCATGTCAGAGATTTGGCACGAGAACTGCATTCATTAAAACAAAATGGCCGCCAGTCAGCCATTTTAAATCTGATCTGTGAAATAAAATGACGTGCATCAAGGTCCCATAATTTCCAATGTATATACCAAGTTTGAACAAAATGCATCTGTAAACAGCCGAGAAATGCTTAATTTTGAAGATTTTTTAGTACAAAAATGGTCGCCATTCGGCCATCTTGAATCAGATCGAGAAACAAATTAATGTGCACATGTTTGAATGTAATCTGTCCACGGACGCATACACACACAGAATAAAGTATGTAGAAATATGACATATGGCCTGTTTAAATGAAGTATAGCAGGCACACTGACAAGTAGCACAATGACATATAACAACTTACCTCTACTGTTTTATTTCTTGACCACGTCATTTCTTTATAAGAATCGCATTCAGCCGTTAATTTCTCACAAAGAGTCTTCATCTTGCTTAACTGAAAAATATTAAATAATTTATCACAATATGAGCATTGTCTATTTTGTTTTCAATATTAACATAAAAACTATCCCATAAAAACGTGATCCCTAATACCCGGTTAATTCAAGCACCCAGTTCATTTTAAAACAAGCAGCCTATCGGCTGAGATAGCTTCGCTGTTAGCAATGCACATTTCAATTAAAGAACTGAAGACATCATTAGAAAATGAACAATATGTATAGTATCAAAGTAATCGGACTTGCAGTTTTTAACAAGAAGTCGAAAATATCACTTTCTACCAAAAAGTACAAAAATATTCACCAAAATTAGAGAATTGAAGATATCATCACAAAATGAACAAATCTGAGAAAGGTCTACATGTAGTATCTATAAATGTAATATCAAAGCAATTGAATTTTTGTTTTTTAACAAGAAGTCGAAAATATCACTTTTTACCAAAAATGACAAAAATATTCACCAAAATTAGAGAATTGAAGATATCATCACAAAATGAACAAATCTGAGAAAGGTCTACATGTAGTATCTATATATGTAATATCAAAGCAATCGGACTTACAGTTTTAACAAGAAGTCGAAAATATCACTTTTTACAAAAAATTACAAAAATATTCACCAAAATTTAATAGAGAATTGAAGATATCATTACAAAATGAACAAATCTGAGTAAGGTCCACATGTAGTACCTATATATGTAATATCAAAGCAATTGCACTTGCGGTTTTTAACAAGAAGTCGAAAATATCACTTTTTACCAAAAATGACAAAAATATTCACCCAAATTAGAGAATTGAAGATATCAACATGAAATGAACAAACCTACGAGAGGTCTCCCCAAGGTACATATACACCAAGTATCAAAGCATTCAGGCTTGTAGTTTTCAAGAAGAAGTCGAAAAAGTAAAACATTGACACGGACGCCGGACGCCGGACGCCGCCGGACAATCACTCATATGGTAAGCTCCGCTCGACAAAGTCGACAGCGGAGCTAAAAACTAATTATTAAATGAATCATTAATTTGTGGCCTTCAAAGATTTAAATTTGCATCCTTTTACTTCACACACACTTGCATTTGTAAACTGAATCATCAAAATGTTATTTATTTTTACCATAGAAACACTACCGTGCATAGACTACTAATAGAACAAATCTGGTACTACAAGATTAAGTAGTTTCAAACATAATGTAGGCAATTTTTAACGCGGACGCAAGTTATTTACATACACATAACTCCTGTACGCAAGTGCCGAGGGACTTTGCAACATCCTCATCCTTCTTAGAGGATCCAGTGACCGTTGTAGATGCAATAAAGTTGAATACCCAACTACGTGACTATGTGACAGTTAATTAAAACACCGGGTGCGGGGAGTTAGGTGTATGTAAATATCTTGCGCTCGCTGTAATAATTAATATTCAGTACTTTTAATGTAAGTTGTTTGTGACTTTATTTTAGTAGAGTATTTTTTTTTCTTTTTATCTATATATTCTCATTTTGTACATTCTATTGTGCCTGTAAATGGCGCTTGTGTTTGTACGCGATCCTTGAAATAAATAAATAAATAAAAATAAATTAATTAATTTATGATTCAAAGTTGGAAAGTCAACTGATAATAATTTCCAAACTTTGCAACTTTCGGCAACATCAGCTGAAATGATTGCGGCATGATATAATTGACTTACTTCAGTAGAAGTAGCATCAAGTCTATTCTGGTAATCCATCAACGTGTGCCTCAAGGTCTCCAATACAAGAGATGGAGTCAAAGGTTTATCTTTATGAGCTTTTCTAACTGCGGTGGCGCTCTTCTTTTTCCCATCCACTTGAAAGTTATGCAGCAAGAGTTCTAACTCTCGCATACTGCCACCGTAAGTTTCTTCTAAGTACACCTGTCGTTTCTTAGCCTGGTGATTGAAATGCACAATAGAAAGAAAGGAAGTGAGAATGCCACGCATTCTATGTACCTGTTCAATGACAGGTGGGCGGGGCATATAATAAAACAACATGTTTTTCTCCTGGTATCTACGTTACCATGGTGATGATTGGCCTTGACAAACCATCTTCAGATTGTCTTGTAATTATTGTTCTTTTCAACGTATACTTAAATGCCAACACTAGTACTGTTGATATGGGAAATAATTTACTGTGTCATGGTGATGAAAGTTGGCAGCGATCCAAAAGTTTTTTAGTAGCTTCCCCGTGACAAATACAACTGAGGAATTTACTGTTCTACAGATATTTTTACACAAAACGATCATCCTGCAACATTGAAAGTCAAATTATGCAAAATAAATTATGCATAAAAAAGGAAAACTGGGGGAATAATATAAATGAATAAAACATTGATTTTCACAAATGTTATTTATTTACAAATAGTAGAATTAAGTAAACATTCAATATTGGTGTTAAAAGTGTCTGGTTAATCGATATTAACCTGCACTAGCTAAACTGAATCCTTATTAACCCTTTCTCATGAATCATGGCAAAAAGACCCTAAAAATGGTATTTTTTATTGATGGAATCAATCAGTTCGATCTCAGATTTGTTTTCAATTTGATGCAAATATTTTATGTTGTTTAAATCTTGGACCAGGTAGACAAAATGTAAGAAAAAACGGTTATATAAGATTATTATGCTAAAACAAAGTTCAACTTTAGCATTTTCGAGTTACTTTAAATTGGGGATGAAAATATTACATAATATTTGTTTAGTTTGTGTCCAGCACATGTGTTCATAATATATACATTATTTTTAGTAATTTTATTGTGGCTGATAACTTAGGTTGTACAACATTTCTGCTGGGTCACATTTGTATAAAACCATGGAAAATGTGACTAACTATTGCTATTGTGTTTATAGCATTTGTATAAAACCATGGGAAATGTGACTAACTATTGCTATTGTGTTTATAGCATTTGTATAAAACTATGGGAAATGTGACTAACTATTGCTATTGTGTTTATAGCATTTGTGGATACAATTTATGGTAAAGGAGGAACAGCATACATACATACATACATTATATGGAGTCTGACAGTAATGTTATATTCTCCAAAAATTCTTTCAAATCATGTTGTTGTTTTTTAAGACAGTGTTGGCTTAAGAATTATTTGAGTTACTTGTGGCAGACTTTCACATATTTTTTTTTACATACTCACTTATGACAGGGACCATCTTATACATTTTTTTACACACTCACACAAGTTACTTGTGGCAGACTTTCACATATTTTTTTTACATACTCACATATGACAGGGACCATCTCATCTTTTTTTACACACTTACACG